TTTAAAATTCAATACAAATTGTAAGAGTATTAGATTTCTTAAGAACTCTTCAGAAGTTCCATTCGATTGTCCTCAATTCAGTGGTACAGATACGCGTTATATTTCACGTCTACTTAACGAGTGTAACATTTGTGGTTACAATAACCAATTTTTTTAAAGAAAAATATTTTAAACATCATTCAGGGAGAGTAAATATACATATGTATAATATTTTTTTTTTACTTACCTGTCACAAGTATACACAAACTCAAAATAAAAGAAATACTGAAACTTATTATTTCTTCACTAGGTTTAGAACATTTAACCTGCATTTTATTGAAAATTGAAAAGAGTTAAAAATATTGTCAGTGTTTAAGCAAAACTTTAAAATGAATTTTAATTTGCTTACGTCTTTTATATTATCGCATAGTAAACATTCACAAGAGATAAACATTTCAAAATATTACACAAAGTACCATTACATTATGAACACCACTTTAATAAGAAATGGGACTGTCAACATTAAGAGAGGAATCGACTTGACAAAATTCTAATGGGTAGGCTGAACCATTTGGTTCCAGGAACTCATCATTTAGCCCGCATATTTCGAGGTGATAGCTTGGCTAAACAAGATTCGTTTTTTTTCTGGGTGAAACCATGAGTATTCGGTTGGATTTATATCAAATGAATTTGGAAAACAGACTTTACTCGAAATTCACTACAATATTCCTTGTGCCCCTCCCTGACGATTCAACTCATGTGACTTGATGTAACATTCTGCTGGTAAACGCCATTTCCCGCCGAGAACATTGTTGTCTTGTAGGAGTGCACATAATCTGCAATGATGCTCAAATTGTGCGGAGACGTCAGGGGTTGATCTATGGTGATCTAATGTGCCCATGAAAATATCGTCCACACCATGACACCCTCGAATTTTTTTCTTTTCCATTGTGATGCTGTGCCATCAGTGCATGGACGCTATTTGGTGCTGCCTTTGTATACTCATATGTAGCAGCGTACACTGTCTTAGGTGTCCGTCTGGCTCACCACTGTTATAACTGCTGGTAATATAAACCGTTGTAATTTTTCTGTCATTGTGAACAATGTGCTTTCCTCTGTAATAACTGTACCATGACAAGTGACGTCGTTTTACCATCTATATACTACTTTTACAAGTGTTCACAATGGCTGTACTTGAGCAGTCCACCAAACAAGCCGATTCTGAATTCGATGTTCTTAGGAGACAAGTCTTAAGGATTTGACCTTTATGGAAATCTGATAAGTGACCTCTTTTGGGTCATTATATCGCTTAACGCTCTGCAGGTGAAGCGATACTGCATGGGCATTTTACATACCCCGGCATAAGCCACATGTGTGTTATTGTTTTGCCCAGGGCAGGCTCATTGCTTATTGAGGGGGTGGCCATTTTTAATGTATTTCATAATATATATATATATACAGTCGACTCTCGATAATTCGAAGTTGGAGGGACCAATGATAGACTTCGAATTATCAAGAGGATAGGGAAAAAATTCCCAAAATACACGAAAAGTTAACACATTTAAATTTGAAACTATGTAATAAAACAACAATTGTACATATGTATAAAATTATTTTAGAGCATTTTTAAAAAGTACATATTATAAAGTATAAATATTTTTCAGAAGTTAAAAATCCAGTATTAAATGAATACATTCACACACAATCCTACGCATCTCTTCTTCACAATAGCGGACTATTCCTTCTGAACACATGTGTAGCAATGCGACGTGGTAAACGAAAGATATGGACGGCTGAAATCAGGTGTAGTTAGTCTATTGTCCACTTAAAAATGAAAACAATAAAAGTGTTTTTTTGCCTGAGGAACTGGAAAACACTAACAAGGGGTAGCAGACAGATGGTCATCAAAGGGGCTACGTTACAGGGAAGACACGCAGAGACAACACAACGCAAAACTTGTAAGCTCCAACTTGTTTATTACAGGACTGCACATGATAAAAAGTGTTGGAATTGTCTAGAGTTATATAAGATAACTTCGAATTATATAGCTTGTTGTAGTCTGGCCAGCCACAGATTTTACTTCGACATATTGAGTGTACCAAAGCGTATTGTTTTAGTTTGAAATATCAAGAGTTTTTCGAGGGACTGAGCATATATTTCGAATTATCGAGAGGTTCGTATTATCGAAGGTTTGAATTATCGAGAGTCGACTGTATAATGTTATGGTTCCATTTAATTATTAAATTATATTTAAATTATTGAATTTATAAGAAAAATTGGGAATTCGATAATTTATTTAACCGATATAAAACGTCAACAAAGCTTATAATTTCATGATTGTAGTTGGATAAAAGTCAGAAATAATTATTGCAATTTATTTCATAACTAATTTATAGATTCTTGAAATTTTTTTAGAAGATTCAAAGCATAAAATTTAGAAAAAATCATACTTTAGATAATTATGATTTCAGATGTGAAAAACAAATTGGGAAACATCTTCATTAGAATTGTTCATTATAAATTTTTATAAGTTGCAGTTCTGACTAATTTGTATAATTTAATAGCGTATGTACAAGTTCATTACATCTCATAAACTTAATTCTAGATGATGTGGTAATTTAGATCGAAACCAAATACTAATTTATGGGAATTTAACGACAAACAGAATCTTAAGGAAAATTCAAGTATAATTCATTTTCATACGAAAGATCAGATATGTTTATAATTTTGCTATATCCAACTTAATCGTTTTTAAGAAATCAATATATTTTCTGCGATATATTATAGTGATTGTTCTGAATTCCCGTGTTTTAAATGTAAATTTTGTTATTTTTTTTTTAATTTTATGTAAAGGTAATATTTTATTAGCACTGATAGTTTTTCTATGGTAGTATGAATTTTGCATGTAGTTCTTGACTTACAATGGTTTTTTCCATCCATTCCCTGTTTATTTCTGTAAAAATGTTTTTTTTTAATTCTTTTCATTGCTCTTTTAAAAGAAATCGTTTATTTTTTAAATTAATAGTTACAAATTTATGTAAAATTAAATGATTTAATATTACATACAATATATGTAGAAGCACTCCTGTACTCAAATATAATATAATCTATTGGAATAGTCTTGTATTCCATACTTTTTTCCTTTTTTTCTGACGCGCGGGAAGAAATACAAAAAGCAAACAATCGTGATCTCACACAGAATGAAGTTTTCTTTTCAGAGTTTCTTTCAACTTAATGGCAAATAACATTTTAATTTTCTCTCGATTTAACAAACAAATTAAAGGTACAGAGACAAGACATTGCAAAATTTTCGTAATAGTATGCGTGTTTTTCAAAAACACAAAACTAAATAACAAATTCCAAAGATATTGTAGTTGTTCAAACCGGTTATTTTGTTTACTTAGAATTTTTCTTTCACTGTTGCGGCTCTCTTTCATCGGTAATCTCTGGTTTGAGGATTTCTTCATACAGGCAAGAAAACGAGAACAAAAACAAAAGTCTACTTGCCCTTGATAATGACATGCATACTTTGTTGTCGATTGTTATATGTGATATAAAACATTTATTTTCAACAACAAATGTACACTTTATATAAATATCTTAATTATTTCCTCTTATAGTCAACTGCTTAAAAACTGCTTTATACTTTCATTATACGTATTTACCATATAATAAAAGAATGAAATTAGTAATGTAATAAGTATATTAAAAAGAAATTAACCTTCCAGGGGGAACCTTAAATTATTATTACAAAAAGGAGAATGTTGTATTTTTTAAGACGAGATATTTTTCCATTTAATTTTATCGTAGGGCAGGAATCAATTTCATTTTAATAATAAAAGGCAAGTTATAAAAAAGTAATTCATATTTGCAGTGAAAAAATATAATTTAATATTATCAGAGAATAAAAAAATGTATAATCTAAATGCTTATTTTTGAATTCAAAAATTTTACTAATCATATTTAAAAAAGTTCTTTATTTTCAAAAGAGATCCAGTTTTATCTCAAATATTTTGTGCAAATGTTCAAAGAAAATGAAAAATCTTTTACTGAGTTCAATTTTAAAATTTTTTCTCTTCACATGCTCGATTTTAAGCCCTGGGTTTTATTTTAATTCTATTAATATATAAAAACTTTATCTTCAAATAATTCTGGATAATTAACTATCACTTAAACATTAATTCAGATTCATATCACTGATATAGTTTACTTCAATATTTTCTTCATTGAAGTAAATTATCTTTTCGGAAACGAATTAGCATTCTTGCTATCTTTAACTTCATCATGTGTCTGCGGTAGCCAAGTGGTTATGGTCAGGAACTCGAGGCCTGCGCGTCATGAGTTCGAGCGTTAGTGCACCAAAACCCCGTCGAGTAGAAGAGCTGATGCGCGTTAAGTATCTCGAGGCTCATAGTTCTACCGTTGGCGTGGTGTGATACTTTCGAGAAAGGGGTGCCAGTTAAGGTGTCGTCCACGTCACTTGATCTTGATTCAAATTTGCAAGGCCTGCCTCATCTCCAATAATTTCTCTTCCTCCCTTTTCTTCGTTATTTATTTTTCAGTGTAGCTTTTTTTCGTTATGTTTCTTTAAAAAAAAAAAAAAAAAAAATGGGGGAGGAGATCTCAAAAAATGTTTTTTTTTAATGGAGCTGCGCATCGGTATTTTAAACCTTCGTAGACCTAGTACATTCCCAGGAGCTGGTATCCCTTTTTAGCGCTGCACCATGTAGGCGATACCAATTACAGCAAGCAATTTTGACGCCTAGTTTCCACCACAGAGGGAGGCACCTGAGCTCTTGACGATGCGTACCTGTACTAGGATTTTTAATTTTGCCGAGAGCATCCAAGCCAAACAGACACTCTAGAGATCTTTTACATGCCGCATAATCATACGACATGGCCACTGTCGATTTTCTGCATCATGAAAATCCACCGACTTGGGCCGAGGTTGAACCCGCAACCTTGGTTGCAGAAGACCAGCGACAAACCAACCACGCCACCCAGCCGACTAAGAAAAATGTCTACGGCACTCGGTGTTCCCAGGTGTCCCCTTCCAAGTACTGACCGCGCCCGATGAGGCTTAACTTCGGTGATTGGACGAGAACCGGTGTTTTCAGCAAGGTATGTCCATTGGCTAAAAAATGTAATCCTCCTTCCGGTGCTGTGAATAATTTCTTTTTCTTTAAACTGAAGGACCAAATAGGAGGGAAAATATCGACAGATAGTGGTGACGTCAACTAAAAATTTGATTCCAAAGAGAACGTTTTTTTAATATTAAAATTATTTATGTGCTTCCTGTTTGTTTTTTTTTTTTTTTTTGGTCTCTAAGGTGCATTTGTGTTTTTTGTATTATTTTATAATTTTTTATGTATTTGTAAGAAAGATGGAATTGTATAACATGTGTGTAAACTTTGATTTTTTATAATAAGGACTGGACATATGAGGGTGGTTGTTTCCCCAGGGATCGGATTGTAGCTCTAAACCCTCTTCGGGTGAGCTCTTTTCCTTTGGGCATTTATCATCATCCAATAGCTCTCGTGTTGTTTTATAGTGTGGTATTAATAAATATTCCTTCACTTGAAACCGATATCAAAATAACAAATTTGTCATGAAATTTGTTTAGAAGCCCCACTAAATCACTAATCATATGTATATATTCTTTTTCATAAAAGAGGGGGGAAATTGCATTTTAACAAATATACTCGAAATTTCTAATTTCAGACGAATATTTAAAAAAAAAAACTTGAATCTTTGCAACAATAGTAATAGTTATCTTTGCAATTTAAAAAAAATCATTTAAAAGTCATCTGTATTAACCATGATTATAATAGTTTCATGCTGTAATGTAAGATTTTTGATCAAAGGTGTTTTTTTTTATGAAACAGGAAAAATAGAAGCAGGGAAATATTCCTTTTTTATTCTATTTCAGTCAGCATTTGTCATGAATGAAAAGGAATAATTATTTATGAGAAAAAGACCTTCATAAAATTTTAGTTGATGCATTCTTCCTAAAATGTTTCGGCACGTGGCAGCTTTAAGGAATTTTTTACATGAGGCATCGTCATTCTTCTTAAGACAATGGGAAAATAAAAGAAAATAATATGTTCCAAAGGGAAAAAAATCATGACTGATTCATTACGAAAGACTTTAGAACCGACTAAAAGAATATTACCTTTCCTGTTTTATTTTCAAGAATATTTCAATGTGTTTTTTAAAAAAAGTACGATTCGGAATGTTCTTTAGTTAACTAATGATCCGGAATGTTTTTAATTTTACTTTGTCTTACTATATTTGAATATTCTTTATTTTTTTATAAGAAAAACTACAAATTCTCATTAAAACGAATACGGTTTCAAAAAGAGAAATAGTATTTGCTATGCTTTCAAATGTAGAAACTTCAGAGTTCAAAGAAGATATGAAATACAGAAGGAAAAAATTTAAAACTGCGGTTGTTGAGCAAAAGAAAAATTCATGAAAGGATTCTGCACTATTAAATATCTACTAATAAATTTGTCTCTAACCAAATGAATCTATATGTACATTTAAATGTTATTTTATTTTTTGATTCTTAGAAATCTAATAATTACAATGAACGTAACCTGTTCTCTTCGACCTCTTCTACTACTGTTCAAGGGAAAATGCTTCTAATAAATTGTTTGATTTGAGAACCTCCCTCTGTAAAGGAGCCGTGACTTATGCAAAAAAAGAACTCTACTATTTACAGTTAAGTGAATTGAATTTACGGGGAAAGATAGCTATTAGACGTGTTGATGTTAGATTACATTACAGTTTATATCTAAATTGTTAGTATACCCACAAAAAAGATTAGTAATCTTGTGGTTCGAGTTCAAGGAATCAAGTTGAGTATTCGTCTTAAAGGATAAGTATATTATTTATTTTACTGTCATTATTTATTTATTCTACCATTATTATTTATTTATTTTACTATTATTATTTATTTATTTATTACTGTTATTTATTTTATTCATTGCAGGAATGGAGCTTTGACCGAAGCTATTATTCATTGACAGTGAATTCATTGACATGAGATTTAATCGTGAATCATCATTTGGTATAAAAGAATTTTCACGAGAAATTTAGAAATGAATAAATAAATTCTTAAAGTGCGTTATGGGTTATTTTTTGACATTGATGATATTTTATTTGCTATTTCAAAACTGAATAAGCGGCCATGGTTGCCCAGTGGTCAAGGTAACGGTCTCGTAGCCGGTGTACTATGAGTTCGAACTTAGACCCGCTGTATAGAGGAGCTGATGTACGTTAAATGTTTCCGGGCTCAAAAATATCCTCCCACTGTTGTGGTGTGGAAATTAGGAGAGGGGGTGGCAACTCAAGAGTCGTCCTCGTCACTTGACTGTGGTTCAAAATTGCGAGGCTCGTCACCAAAAGCCCTGGAGTAGCTAAATGTCCTATGTTAATATTCACTCACTCAAAACTGAACAAATTTATTAAAAATAAAATATAGTTTTTGTATAGTGTTGCTGTTACAAATATTGATTTTATAGATTAAACCACAATATGTTAACATACACAATTTAATGTTCTTTAAAATGTATGAATAAATTCTTAATTAAAAATAAATAGTTTCATGCAACAATAAAAAGTTTTAAAACCGAAAAGTAACAGCTTTAGAATTATTATATGAGAGCCTACAAGATTATTATACTGCTAGATGCTGTTAGTTTACTGCTAATTACTGCTTAAATTCGTTAGTTTTCTTAAAATATTCAAAAGAAGTATCATTTTTATTCCATGTACAAGCTTAGTATAGCTATCTGAAAACCATGCATTTATTTCTTTAACTTTAGTAATATTGTAATCAAATGAACTCTTTATATATATTTAGTTTTTTAAATATATAACTTCTGTATCCCACAATTTGAGGAATTTGAGCCTTAGTAGGAGAATTACGCACCCCTCTACATGTTAAGTCTTCAGTAACATTAGGACTCACGCCCACGCGTTGACAAAAGCAACGCTGGCCACGAGTTTGAGACCATGACCACTCTTTAACCGGAGCTACTTAAGGCACCCGACTACCCTAAAATTGTGAATTTTGCCAAAAATTGACAAATTTTCTTATGATTTTATGTTATAGACTATCTTATTAGCTTTGTAAAAATACCAAGTTTATTATTTTCCGTTCACTAGAACAAAAACTACAAGTGTTTAAGTAAAAGCAAATGTCATTACTTTAAGCAAGACGTCATACTTTAAAACGCGTTTTACTCGAAATGGGTTATTTTGAAAATGCTCAAATGGGGACAACGATTGCTGAAAAAGTTTTTAAAATAATTAATTTAAATATTTTGTGTATGTTCTGTACAATATAGTAGAAGTGTTTTAATCTTCAGATTTATTAATCACTGTTTTATTACAAAATTTACAGTCCCTTATGTGAATATAGTCACTGTTATTTTAAGCAATTTTATATAATAAATAAGATAAAGTGCTCTAGTTTTTGTAAAAATTAAAATATATCTTATTCTGAAGATCATTTCAAAAATTAATAACATAGCAGCACATTAAAATTGAAAATTTGCTTATAAACTTTTGGTACAGTATGGGGCCCCATTTATGTTATTTTTTCTAAATTTTTACCAATTTTTTTCTCATTTTAGTACAAATTATTTCTTTTTATCTTCTTAATTTTAGAGTATTTTTCTTAAAATGTACTAAACAAATCAAAAAACCACAAAAAAATCTCCATACCTCCCTGTTTAAAAAAAAAATTGTCGCAAGTAATCGGATACCTTAAGACCAATTTTCAATTAAAATCTGAACAAAAAAAGAAACTATAGTATTATAATATATACACAACTATTTGAAATAACCAATAAGGAAATAAAATTTCCTTCAATGAAAGGTTGTAAACATAACTTTTTAAAATGAAAAATTATAATTAGCTATCGTATTTTTATATGTTAATGACCTGATTAATCTCATGCTTTATGTTATAAATATTCTATTAAACTTCAGCTGTTTGGAAAAATTCTGAAACTTTCGCTAAACAGACTTTATTGTTCACAGGTTGATTTACAATACAGAATTCGTCTAGACGAATTTAAATCGCAGGAAGTGTCTGAATAGCCTCGACAACGCCATTTTAACAACTGGCCGTAATCAAGATTAAATGTCAAACAAGATTTTTACGCAAATAATATTAATGAGCTGTATTTCTCAAACTTATTTTAAGTCTTTCTGTGTTGCTATAGAAACACGTTTTAAATTCATTGTGTAAGCAAATTGCATTAACTGAGATTAAAATTCTCACCTAGGCATAGAAATCTGTTTAATTATTAGTCAGGTAATTTGGAATTCTGATTAAATATTTAATTTTGAGGAATTGTTAGCAAAAGTTATTTGAAACTCGTGATTGTAATTTTTATGCTTAATATAATTCATATTACTAATCTTTCAAAAATGTTTAATCAGTATTTTAATTTAATTTTAACCAGTTTCTATCACTTTTACAATTAAATTTGATTGTAACAAAAATACTGAAGGTATGTAAAATTCTGAAATTACGTGGAATTTAATATATTTTTGTATTAAAAATTGTTCCATGAATTGACAAATGTAGACCGTAACGTAAAATTGAATTTGAATGTGTGAACTCGGATGTTAAGAATTATTTTAAAGTAATTTACTTTGAAATATCTTATTTGAAGTAGAAAATTGTAATTATACAAGTAAATTATTTTTAAAAATATTTATTTTGACATTTTAATGTTTTACATTACAAATGAATTAATACGTAATAACCTGAATTGTATATGCTCTAAAAAGATAATTTGACAAATTCTACGGATTAAAAACTAAAAAAAAACATAAACATCGTAATCATATTAATAATTTTCAACCAGTTAACTCAAAAAATACATTTAAATTGAACAAAAAATTAAAAAGAAAAGGAAATGTGCAGAAAACATTCTAAGGAATGGTTTTTAGCATTACATTTAATAGAATACTATTATGCAAAATTAAATTCATTTCTGATTTATATTGGATAAATATTAATACACTATGACACTCCCTGCGTGCATCAAAGTCGTAAAATTTTTAATCATATTACATTCCATAATTGTATAATTTGTTGTCTTAAGGTT